AATGACACACTTCAGATTTCCCATAAACTCTACATTTTGCTGTTATCAATGGGTGCTTCTAGACTGTGGGTTGGTAGTGTGGACAGTCCAAAAGCATTTTGCACCTCTTCTGACTTTCCTTCCACAATTTATTTATTTATTTTTCTGTAAAATGATAGAAGAAGGGATGGGAAAACATGGGATGGCTACAAAGAGAAGTTATGGGAGTCTAGATCCGGTATAGTTGACTTGATGAAACAGTGAGATTGAACAATAATGCCCCACCTAGTGAAGCACATTTAGCTTAGGGTTGTGCAAGAAAGGAAACCTTGAAGGAGGAAGAGGAAACAGAGAATGAGTATTTAGTTTTAACTCTATTGCCCCTCCGAGTTCAGTGTTTTTCTTTTTTACCTCATCTTCCCTTGAACAGGAAAAGGTCAAAACTCACAACATTTCTAAGAGATGGGAACTGGGCATAAGCATGCACAATGGAAACAAACATGTATCACTTTCGTGTTGCTTCTCATCTCAGCTTGCTTTCTTGTGCTTTATCGTTTCCCTTGTGTTGAATTATAGAACATGAGTTCCATGAGGCATTCTGTCCTCTTGCATTCTATAAAGCACTACACACACAGGAGGTGCTACATAAAGAAATAAAATAAAACCCTACATAGATCATTAAAAACATGGAAGAAAGGGATTCTTCATGAAACTAGCTCCAGTGTCCTCACACAGCAGAGCGAGATGTGAAGAAGTGAAATATGTACACTTCAGCTCTGGAGAGGAGAAATGCACAGCCTTTGCAGAATAGAAAAAACAAAATTGGGAAAAAACCAGAAGCTTATGCAGTCATTGCAGGCTTTGTTCTGGAGTAGGCTGGTTCTGTGTAGTGCACCTGTCCATATGCTAATCTTTTCAACACAAGCCCCTTTCCAAGAATCCCGCCATCTGAGGGGGAGCAGGTGACTAATGGGAAAAGGACCATTTTGATAGTGATTGTCTAACCACAGAAGTCCTACTTAAAACTTACTTCAGTGTAATGTCAGTGCCAGGAAAATGTCATTTTATTCTCAAAGCTGATTTTTATCAGTGCCAATAAATTTTATATTGGTTTTTTAAATTGTGTGTTTAAAAATGGTTTTTCGTTTTAATTTTTATTCTTTGTATGTTACCATGGGAAATCATTAAAGCATGCATTAAAAGTGAATACATGAAGAAATGAATATATTATATTTGCCACTCTTTCTTTGATTAAAGATGAGTGCATGCCATATTAAAGCAATGGAGACAAAGCACAGTCAGCTCTAAGGATGAAGATGCTTCTGATAAATTAGGGTCAATTTTAAACCTGTTTACAAAATGAAACTTGAGCAATTTCAACACTGCAGTCACAGTTTCGGAAGAAGCCTGAGTGAGGAGGAGAGGAAGACAAATGCAGTTTCCCAAATTGTGATTCCACATGAATGCCGGGGAAAATGCAGCATCCCTGCCGCAGAAACAAAGGGAGTATTTCTATTCTGTAAGGGTGAGAGTAACATCACTGCACACTCATTATACTGAATAAACAGTAATCCAGGGGCACTCTGAATTTACCAGACAAAACCAACAGGCTTTGTCTGCCTGGATTAACAGGTTGCCAAGAAGGTTTAAGCCACGGTGCCCCAAAAGGCAAATTGAAAGGCATGCTCTGAGGAGAAGGCCTGTGTGCGCAATTTGTTTTGCTGTCCTTGAAGCAGAAGGAACATGTAGCAGCAAACTCTTTTATTCTATTCAAGGTTCCAGAAGCAATGGCCACAATTATAGCTGTCCACAACCTGTGGGAACTTTATTCTGTTTTCTCTAGGGAGATCTGATATGGACAGTCCCTTAAGAAGTACATTTAACTATGTTTCATTAGAAAATTTGCCAAGAGGCAGAACTGGAAGGACACCATGTAGAAGGTTGATGGCAACGCCCTACTTGGGTATCATTTTGGCCATCTGTTAATCCAGAGTGACTCCAGGAGGCCATACAAGACAGCTGAGGTGTCATGTAGGCAGCAGTCTTTCACTTTTGTAAATATGCCCTTCTTGAAGACAATTCAAGGAAACATGGACTTGAGTTTATAATTAACTTTGCCTTTTTGGCAGTATCTCGGCATTTGAAAAGGTGTTTGTCAACTTTAAATGACCTGCTCCTGCTAAAGAATTACTTTCCGCTTTTCCAAATGGCCCTTTCAGGTCTTAAAGGAGTTTAATCAGCTCTGTCTGGGAGCCTTTAATCTCATATAGAAACTCAAGTGTACATGGACTCCTGTTTACTTGGGACCAACAATAAAAACAAATTACTGTCATTATTCTCCAGACAATGGGAACCTTTTGGTGACTGTTTGATCACAAATTGGTGGGTGACAGAGGCCAACCTGACAGAACACAAGGCAAAACATAGTCAAGCCACCAAATATACATTCAAGGAAATTCAAAGCTATGTTGGTTTCCTGAAACACACACATGGTTGGAACACATGTTGGTTTTGCAATATTACCATGACAAAGGCCTACATTAGTAAAGTATCTTCAAAAACATTAGCATTTTTCTTTTTGGAGTTATTGGTACAGGGATTCCTAGTACTTCTTACTTAATATGCATATGTCAATATGAATTACACTCTAGGATCAATATTTGCCTATTATTCAGATTTGTTGTTGTACAGTTTTAAAATGCAGGGGCACCTAAAGAACCTTACACTGCTCTTCTCATAGCAAGATGCCCCCCACCCCCATAATCCAAGCCTCTAGCATAAGCAATGGCAGCTACAGGTTTTCATGACCTTCACATCATTGCTAGTAGCTGCTAATGCTTTTGATCTCCTTTTTCATGATTGTTGCCATCTGCTTGCTTGACAGGCAGAGAACAAGCACGCAGAAGCATCTCCTGCTCCTCCTTCGGGTTACCGCCACCACCCTTGCCTGAGTCAGAGAGAGACAGGTAAAGAGACAGGTTGCAGTGGTGAAGAAGGACTCTTTTAGGTGGCTGTCTAGAGTGTGGTCCTTGGCAGTTGCCCATCTATGCCAACTCTTGACCCTGACCCTGAGAATAGCAACATGAAAAAGTAACATGATGATCCAGAAATATATTCCCTGATCCTCTGGATAGTCTTTTAAATCTCTGCACTACCTATATGTGCCTAAGGTTTCATTATATATATTAGTTCTTATTTTAAGGAGGGAGGCGGGCTGCACAACAGAATAAACTATAAGCTGCTGATGTGGTGTTCCTTAATTTAGCTGAAACATTTGACAGGGTTAGGAATACTGGCTGCTCTTGAATTAACTCTCAGGAGAGTGGATTTATGTCTGATTGCCAAGCAGAACTATAAGTAGTGCACATGATTCACCTTACCAAAGCTGAATCACTGAGTATGTACTCAGTAGGGAATATAAGGGCTTTTCTGAACAAAGCATTTATTATGCACATGGCAAGCCCTACTCACAGGTTTTTTAGAAGATGCCATAGCTCTCTAGTTTCAATGTGTCTAATCATCATTTTTGGAAGTTTTTCTTTAAAGAACAGGGGAAATGGCATTTAATTAAGAAAGTGAAAGATGTTGTGATAACCTCTTGTGCTTTTGCACTTTGTGACTATGTCACAGTGCCACCTAGAGATTATGTATTGGAAATGCAGGAAAGGGAACATTTCTCATATACTGCTCAGATCTCAGTTCTGTGACAAAACTGAAAGTGGATTAAGAGGAAACAAATAGCTCCATTTGTGATCATGGAGTAACGTTTTCACCTGTTTTACAGACTATAAAAATATTAAGGGAAGGAGAGCTGTCTGGCTCTTAAGTGGACAGATATAAAAGAAGACAGGGTATCTTCACCTTTAAGATTCATAGATGCAACAGGTGGATGGCAAAACAGAGATCAATTGTTTCAGTATTTTGTGGTGGTACCTATAGCATTTTCAAAAATTTGCAAATGTGCCCATAATTCCAAAAAGGTTGGAACCCATGATGCAGCATTTAGGTCTAACTGCAGAATAGCACTAACTTTGTTTTCATTTGGAAAGATAGATAATCTCATCCTATATTGCAATGGACTGAGGACTTGCAGTGCTTTCAGTATCTGAACAATTGGCATATAGATGCCATTTTCAAATGGATGCATATTTGGACATTTTATCTGTTTTACTTGAAGTCTATCTTCATTTGACAAAATTGTAGTGTAATGTCAATCTTTTTTGCTTTATAAAGGGCCTAGAGAATTAATTCACCTTGACCATTTCTTAATTTCCATGAATCAGTTCAATTATTTTATATATTATAAATAATTATTATGAGAGCCAGTGTGGAACAGTGGTTCAGCGCAGGGGACTGGGACTCATGAGATCTGGGTTCTAGTCTTCATGCATGTCTGGACAGACTCTCAGCGCAACCGATACAGCAGGTAGTTGTGAAGATAAGATTGGGAGGAAGAGGAGAATTATGTTAAGTCACCTTAAGTTGAAAAGGTAAAAAAGCGGGATATAAATATAGTTTATCCGAAATTGTATGTATTTCATATAAATTATGTATGTTGATATGTCAAAAAAAGAATAATTTTGAGGCACCATAGGCACTATGTTGAGGACCCTGAGCTATCCCATAGTTATCGGACATTTAAGCTTATTCCATAATAAAGATATTCATTTCTACAATGCCACAAGACTTTCCAGCTTTGCATCTGAAAACTGAATTTATTCTATATATCATAACTTAACATCCATTTTCCGTAGCTAACTATACATGTAACAAATTAGTAAATTTAATAAAACATTCCTAGTTATAATGGTGATCTGCAGTAACACAGGTTAAAAATCAAATCAGTTATTGTGAAGCATATTTGTACTGAGCCTAATAGATAAGATTTGTTGCGGATTTATTAATTTAGCAAACCTTTGTGAAACAGCTTGAGACAGCCCCCCACCCCAGCTTGGTTTAGGAGAGTTATACATCTCAGACTGCTTGGAAGGAAAACTACAAATATTTTTAGACTTACCCAATGGTGTGATCTTAAATCCATCATTCCACATTGCTACAGATCTCTCCTGAATTTGTTTGAGCAGCTCAGAGGAAGTTTAAGCTGCAAACTGAACCCAAAAGATAGAGCAGTGGGAAAATTATTTGTAGAGGAATGAAGTTCAAGGAGTCTTTTCATTCCCATGTAATTGTAAACAAGTCATTTAAACACCATGGACTAACTGGATATTAAGCAGTGTTACCAACATAAATCCAGCTGGTTATAAATCCACTTGTATATAAACTACTGAAGACTGCCATAACATTCACCAACAGATGCTCGTTCATTCATCTCCAGAAGCAGCCTTGAATTAAATTGTAAGCCACTGAGCTACATTCAATCACCTTGCATTGCAGACACTTTGCTTAAACTAAATAGCAATTGCTAATGGCATGAAATGGCAGTTACTAAACAGATTTGCAGCAACATATCTAATAGCTACAAAGTAAGGACTTTGCATCAATACCTTAAAAGCCTAATCAATACAGAAGAGATAATCCCAGAGTAACTCATGTGTGTTGCAAACATCCTGGAGCTGTGACAAAATGACAAAAACAAAGAGCAGATATCCACAGAGCATTCTTATACAGGCTTAGCAAATGCTTACAAACAAGCACAAACACTTGTATCCCCATCAATAACGAAGTAATAAAAACTCAGGTAACTAACACTTCCATATTAAGATATAATTGAAAAAATGCAACAATATAGCACAATTTAGCCAAAGTTAAGCATTTTTACAATGCAATTCTGTGCATGTCTACTCAAAAGACTCTTTCAGTTCAATGGGATTTCAATCCCAGGTAAGTTTGTATAGGATGTCAGCCTTAATATTTCAATTGTTTAAATGTTTTAATGCACTTAACCTTTTGTTCATTTAGGTCAATGGATGAAAATGTTTAAAATGTAGTTAGACAATGCCTATAGAATCTTTTCAAAAAGCTTTCTGCAAAAGCTAAAGCTTCAGCGGTGACAGTACTTTTTGCAAAACATATCCCTTAATTTATTAAAGGCATTTAAGGATGTATTTTGCATTGAGCTAGTATGTAGAAGTGCTGTGAAACAGCAGTACTTCCTACTCAGATAGAAATCTCTAAGAGATTGGTTTACATGAGACAGTTTATGTTAAGAATTCATGAAGGATCCAGTTCAGAGAAACAGAAATATCAACCACCTCTCCAGAATCTGAATGAATGACTAGTTACTAAGCAAACACAAAGAATGGTATTAAATACCAATTAATCAACAGCACAGATTTTAAGAAAATATTCATAAGAGGACAGAGAGATAAGACAGAAAATATAGATAACATTTCATAAATTCCACCCTGTCTCTCTAGTAGAATTTGTTTCAAATGAATAAACTTCATAAAACATTCTGACCGTTTTATCTCCACTGAGACTAAGAATGCATCTCCAAGCCCTGCTGCTTGACCACTCCCACTGCCAAACCTCATAGGTATAACCTACATTATACCCCACACCAAGTTCTGCATAGAGGAGCAATTCCGATTGGCCCTGATCCTTCGTTGTGTGTGAGATTTCTATGGGAATATGTCAGTAAATGTGCACAGCCCAGCATAAGTAGGTGCAATCCAGTTAACCCCTGAAAATTACCACCATGTAGTGACTGCAGCTTGTTGTGCCAGTAAACCAAATGGGTGTAGATTGCTGACATGATTCACAAACAACCCATAACCCGCGGGATATTTTTGAATATGCAAAAATCATGTGTGCAGGCCTGTGATGCCACAATGAGGAATTTATGGACTTCATTAGAACTGTTCTGTCTGCATTTTGGGAATTGTCAGGCACCTTTTATTCCATCATCCATTCATGGCCAGAATCAGATTTTTTTTTCAAGTTCCAGAAATTGCACTGAAGCACGCCTGCAAACATTTGTGCTTGCATAAATTTGCATTTGCACAGTTTTGAAAATGAGCACATACTCTACTCATTTTCATCCTTTAGCCTATAATATGAAAAGATATAGGAAGCATATATGCTTTTGATCTGTGTCTTTTTAATTTTTTTGTATTTTTCTAGGAATGAATTTACTTAAAATTTTGGAAAATTAAAAAAATAAAAACCTCCACAGATTCATGGAATTCATACAACTTGTGAAAAATGGTCTCTTGTAGAATCTATGGGTCAGAGTCATAGAAATTCAACCTCACTGAATAGGTTGCAGATTTCTCTGACATCCCTAGGCAAGACTGACCATGGCTTACATATATCGTGGTGGGCTGTGTGATCATGCAAACTGGGTCAACATGATATTCTGCACAACCCCAAGGAGTGTCCAAAAAGTCAGAAAGCTGTGTTGATCCATTTCAACAAATGAAAGAGTTTTAGCAGTCTTCATCTCCATTAGGAGCAGATCTTATGTAAAGCTAATGGGTCTTAATTGCACAATCAAGACTAGTAGCATTCAACTTGAAAATCCACAAGGTGTTCGCTGAAGAATTGCACCCTGACCTTCCCATAATATGAATAGCTTCTTAGATACATGCTGCAAGGAAGCCACTTCTTTTTGCTCTCAATTGTCTTTTCCTATTTAAGCTAATGTGAACTCATAAGTATCTAAAAGCGTTTATTATTTGGTATTGAAATGTGTTTCGCAAGGATATAAGCTTTTGTTTATCTGCAAATCCACATAGATCCATTAGGCGACTCTTGGTTTGCTGCAAGGTTAAGCTTCCCCCTCCCTTTTTTTAAAGTACTACAGCAATAAATGAATAAATAAATCCCCATTTGGCTGATTTCTGCTTGATTTGTTTCAATTTCTGCGATGTCAGTTTCTGGGAAACTGAATTTTCCTTGAGGGCTTTCTGAGCCCATCTGACCCCTTTCTTGCCCTGTGTGCAACAAACACTGAAGACAGCAGGAAGTCAACTCCTATAATTTATGTTGAGGCAGACCCCCGCTCTAATTCAGTGAGCACCCTATAGCCAGATGGAAGAATGGCTGTCTGAATACATTATTCAATGCAGGGACAACCTTCTTCAGGCAAGGTAAACTGAGGAGAAAGCAAGTAAAGTAAGGACTGTCTTGAACTCAGATTATGCCTACTGAAGGAGTTGTAAGCACGTTTCCTGAAGCACCACCAGGCGTTCTGTATAGACGGGAGCAAGTCTTCCAATCCTAGATGCTTGCTCAGAATATAGCATGCAATTCTGGGCATGTTTAGACTGAAAAATGTGCTTCAGCTACAAGCATTCCCCAGCCAGCAATATTTTTGTGCTCTCTCTCTCTTATTTCCACTTAATTTAAGGTGTTCAGTTACAGTGTAAGGTAATAGCAAAATATTTTACCCAACAAAAATGAGAGCAACATGTTATGATATTTTAAGTTAATCTGAAAGGTACTGCAACCCATTTCTTCCAGCACCAAGGATGAGTCTGAGTGTTGCACAAGTAGCAGGCGGTTCATGCAACAATCTTTCTGTTGCAACCCCCATGTTGCAGCTCCTGGGGTAAGGATTTTTCTGCAGGGTCATGGAGACCTACAGGTTATTGTGAAAAGGGTCTTGCCAGACTGGCATGCAATGGGGGTGGGGGCATGGGGGATGGAGTTTCCAAAACTGTGCAGATGGAGCCTGCATTGCCTATGCGAGTTCCTCGATTTCAGTGATTCTCTTAATGAACACACAGTAACAGAAGCTGAAGGATACCAGGAAGTATGCCACTTGTGATGACAGGGAAAAGAAGACCGAAGTCCTCAAGTGTGGTGCATTGCCCAACAATGTTCTTTCGTCGCTTCCCTTACCTTCGCCTAGATAGCTGCATGAGAAAGTCATGTTGGGTTGAAAGACTCCTTGAATAGGTATGCCACTGGGAAGCACTGGGCTAGTGGCAGCTATTTGAGGATCACAGTTGCCTGCGAGCTCACAGTAGTATATCCTCCTACCTGCCCCAGGCACAAACCATTTTCACTATTCAGGGACTGTAATTTTCTGGTATCTGTATTTCCTTTGCTTTTACAACAAACAGGAAATTAAATACCCACCTGGCAGAATTCCTGGGCCTACCTTTATCAGTTGTATCACAGGAAGCTGTCATTTTTTCTGCCAGAAATACAATAAAGGAACCAGTATTAACTCAATTTCATATTAAGTTCTTGATTTTAAACTTGCCTATGCATGCCTTTACCATTCGGCACAGATGTAGGAAAAGTATTAACTATCCACCACAACAAAGTTTAATTGCTATTTGTCTCTTTCGTGAACATGCATAAAAGTGGTAGGAAAATTATTACTGAAGGGAGAGACAGGACTCCTATAGTGGAAGGTCACACCGGTGACTTATTCAAGAAAGGCTGTTGGAGTGCTCTGTGCTTGGCTTTCTCTGTGGTGGCAGCCATAACTTATATGTACCTTTTGGCAAACAGCAAATGCAAGCTGTAAGGTTCAGTGATGTTTCACGAATGCCCTGACTTTCAGTATGGGAGACTTCAAGCAGCTGTTTGGCAGTGTGTGGACAACCTGTACGGAGCTCTTGAACAGCAAGAATGCCTATTAAGGTGTGTATTTGGATAGGACAGTGTCTTAATGTGACAAGTACAGTGTTGGAGAATTTACCTATAGCAAAATTTGAAGCCAAGGTTCAAAGGAAACTACAGAAACCAAGGTTTCTTTTTGCTTTTTACAGAGGGCTAAACCAGTAATCTCCATTGGTATGCTATTTAATAATAGGCCTGTCAGCCTATTATTCCATGCTTTATTTTTGATTTTGCACAAGGCTAATATCAACTTGGCTTCTTGTTGATTTTTCCTTATATCCCTTCAAGTTATTCTCTGCCTAAATAGCACCAAAAAGTGGCAAACCTTCCTGTTTTGGGCCAAGCTGGGGGTCCCCTGTCTTTTAGGGCTAGTAGGCATATTTGGATTTTGAGACATTTTCATGGGTTCTCTCACAAAAAGACATTCATCGGGGTTTACCCATTTATAAGCTGACTGCCAGGTAGTATGACTAGTCACAGAATAGTCAATTCCCAGAAGGCAAAGTGGTGAAACTACAAGAAAAGTAACTTGCCCAAGATCTTAAGGTGAGTTCTGAGTTTCAACATGCAATTCCTCTTGAACTCACACGATTCTGTTTCAGCACCCAGAGAATACAAATAGATGCAGCTTGTAGACATGAAACTGAGTTACTAGACAGAGGTGGGGTCTGAGCCCCAAATGCAAAATGACATATTTTCCCCTGCAGAGTACAACAACATTACCATTTCACAGAAAGGCACTACAGAAAAGGTAGTACACAAATCTGCAACTGGAGTCACTGAGTTCACACCCTGCCCTTGTGAAAAGCCCTCCCACTGCCAGACATGTAAGGACAGTGGCTGCTGGGATCAGCATCTGCTCATATTCTGATTTGGCAAGACCATACCCATTTGCTCCTCAGATGTGCTGTTCATGTAAAAGGAGCGGCTTGGGACCTGGATACCTAAAGGAACGCCTTCTTCCATATTTGCCCTCCTGTCTCCTGAGATTGGCAGCAGAGGCCCTCCTCTGGGAACCCTCCGTGAAAGACATTAGGAGGCAAAGTACCTGGAGGAGGGCTTTCTCTGCGGTGGCGCCCCGCCTATGGAATGCGCTCCCCAGAGGGGTCCGCCTGGCACCGTCGTTATTTGTTTTTCTGCGCCAGGTTAAGACCTTTTTATTCCAACAATATTTTAATAACTTTTAATATTGGTTTATATATGGTTTTTAACTGCAGCCAGGGTGGATCTGTAATTCATTTGTATTATGTTTTATATTACTTTATTTATGTAAGCCATCCTGAGGCCTTCGTGACAGGATGGCATATAAATATTCTAAATAAATAAATAAAACCACTATGGCTACTTGCCTATTCTGGCCACCAGAAGCACATGGGATCTGTGTGTCTTGCTTGATCCTGTGCATAACTATCCAGAAGTCAGTCCCATTGAGTTCAACAGGGAGCCACACAACTGGAGGATCACCACATTGTATTTTAGTATAAAGTTACTACCACCCAGCACCTAAAAAGGCTTTGTAGCCTAAAATCAAGCTGTTCCTTGCCAGGCCACTCCTGGTCAAGATAACAACTAGCTAGATCCTCTCAGCTAGATACACAAATAGGAGTATAAGAAAAGGGAGCTTCTGAAAGGCAGGCCACTTCTGAGCTTCTCTGTTCTCAATCCAAGAAGCAGAACATGTACTTCACCAACCTGAGACAACAGGGTACTAGTCAGGATCTTACGAGGCCTGTGTTAACTCAAGCAGTCAACAGGCTGGGAATTAAGAGAAATCAAAGGAGCGGTTGAAGCAGTATCTACTTTTCTTGCAATTACAGCTATTAGGAAGTGCTGGAAGGATCTAGAGGACAACAGTTGTGAAAAAACAACAAACTTAGAATCAAAGGGAAAGTAAGCTTGCAGTATGTTACTATTTAACGTTAATATTGTGCATTTTGGGGTCATCATGTCTCAGCAAGATTCAGATGAGAAAGATACTGGCTGGTGACATTGTTTCCACTTTGGATACAAAGAAGAAATCACACTTCTGTTGAATTCTTATTCCGAAGGTGCAAGTGTCAGTGGGTTTACTGCAGAGCTGACACATCAGTGTTCTTTGTAATGATGTCATCATGACTGATTTACTTGAAGGTAAGATGACTCAAAAATCACTGCAATAGGAAAAGAAGGTTCCCGAATGCAGAGAATGAAGAAAATGTGCCAAAGGGTTTATTCAGAGCATACAGCATCAAAGGATTGGATCCAGATTCTATAAAAATATCTGCATGAATACTTGTATAAATATCTATTGACACATTTCCTCCACAAAATATGCATTCATACACATATTCATCTCAAAATTCACATTTCAACATTACTTTAATACTAAAATATCCATGTTTGAATATATTTTGGCATGCTTTTGAGCTAAGAGCTGAACTGCAAAATTTGGAGAAGGTGAAATCTGAAAGATAATGACATTCTGATCAGCATATTAGTCCAAGGGGGCAGATAAGGACACTTCATGTTGAGATTTGCAAATATTGAATTGCTCTTTCACCCAGTGCAAAAGCAAAATAGCACCCTAAACAAAGCAAAGCAAAAGCAAAACACCACTGAGTGCAAAGGCAAACACAAGAGTCTAGGCAGAAAGTGAAAGTGAAACTACTTTAAATAGACATTTGCTATATTCTACCACAATTAGTGTTCCATTCAAATTCAACTGGGCTGGTGAATGTGGACTTCCCCACCTACTCCTACCTATAATAGCCCCACCAGCCCCCTGAAAACTCTATTTGCTGAGTTGAAGAGAGTGAGCAGTGATGTGTGGAGGCAAGGAGGCTTCCAAAATTCAGGCACATGAACCTTCTGCAAGCAGAAGGCAGATCCTGAACCCAACCCTTAGAACAGAGGTGGGGAGCCTCCTTTGGCCCAAGGACCAATTTTAATTTTGTAGAAGCTTTCAATGGACATCTTCCAAAGGTTGGCAAAAGGATGGGGCCAAAGTTAGAGCAGCCTCTGCCCTGCCCCCGCATTCTGTAAGCTGTCCTGAGGCTGCTGCAAAGGACGGCATGCAAATGTAAATGAAATGAAATGAAATGAAATTTAATTTAATTTAAATGTTGCAGCTTACAGCTCCTAGTGCCAGTAAGTAAGCTATAGAAGAGGTATCTGAACTGTTGAGAAGCTTTGGGGGAAAATTGCACAAAAACAAGGAAACCACTGAACAGTTGGTATCTGGGGGAAAGGGGAAAAGGAGTGGGTGTGGGCATCATCTGGGGATGCCAGAGGGCCAAACTGACACACCAGAAGGGTTCCATTTGGCTTCTGGGCTGGAGGTTTCCCACTCCTGTCTTAGAGTATTGCTGGATACAGAGCACAGGATAACACATCCTCATAGTCAAGTATGGGTTGCATCTGAGTTGTCAATGAACCATGGTTTTTTGTTGAAATGTGAGTTATTATGGTGGCTGAACCCAGCTTAGCCAACAAAATATGGCTTGATGAGTATAAAGAACACACAGTTTGCAATCCAAGAACAAACCATGCGATCGCTTCATGGATTTTTCCTGGTTAACAAACAGTGGCTTGTTAGCATGGCTGCCTTCAGAAAAGATGATAACCCATGTTTCAGTAATGCATAGTTCAGTGAGACCCCACACTCAACCCACATGCAACCCTTGAATGTGAGCTATCATGTAGTCTGAACCCAGCTGGTTTACATAATAGAAGAAATGGTGGGTTGTGAATCATGTTTGTTTAAGATGGTTTGTCAGGTTGCCTGAACTCAGCCAGAGTGGTTTGTGCTGGGTTCCAATAATACAACAAGCCACTATGAAACAAGCATAGTTCACATCTCACCCTGGCTGATAGGAATATTTCAGTCTCCCAGGACATTCTGTGTCTGCCATGTTTTATTTAATTATTTTTTGATTTATATCCTGCCTTTTTCCTACAAAGGGCTCAAGGCAGCTTACATCATTCTCCTCCTCCATCTTATCCCCACAACAACCCTGTGAGGTAGGTTGGGCTGAGAGTCTGTGACTGGCCCAAAGTCACCCAATTGGCTCCATGGCCGAGCGGGGACTCAAACCCAGATCGCCTGAGTCCTATTCCCATGCTCTTAACCACTACGCCACACTGGCTCTCAGTGTGCGAATCTGGTCTGTATATCTGTCTTCACCCTGAAGTACAAGGCTACCATTTCTCCAGAGAGAAGAGGTATATTGGTTTCTATAACACTGAAGAAGTTTCAAGTGGACACCTAAAAATGTAAAAATATGAATATAACAAACCATTTTAAACATGAGTTACATCACAAGTATATCTGTAATGGCGTTAAAATTAGTGGATTCCTGTCAAGTGTGCACCCACTAATAAACCCTGCTTTAGTTTATACCATGTATGAAATGGCTCTTACACATGTCCAAGAACATATAACTATTTCTAGCAATAGTGTAATTCCTCTTTGGTCTCTTCTAATCTTCATAGCCTACTGATAGCGGCTGATCTACTGATATTTTGCCAGCTGCCCATATCCTAGAATAAAGGAGCTCTTTGCACTGCAAATATAGGTTGGGGCAGGAGGA